GTCGTGTCTGTTTCTTCAAACTTTAAATTTTTGCATATTTGTCGTAAATTGCCTGCCTCTGTCCGTTGCCCGATCTCGATTTTATGGATCATGTTCTGTTTGTCGTCATGCTATGTTAGTTTTTTTCTTTTCATTTGAGCTATTAAATGGTTTCACATTATATTAATGGATTTTTACTGTTCCGAGCTAAAATATATATACATTTCTGAATTGTTTACATTTTGACAGTAGGCACAGATGTTCCAGTGGGGAACTTGGGAAGTCTGGCCATGAAAAAATACGAAAACATGAGAGTTTAGTTAATGCGAAATCAGCTGAACGATTATCTTAAGCAATATGAGTTCATTAATCAGTTTTGGGAGCTAATTTGGGGGGACTAAAACTTGAGTAATGAATCATTTCACTTAAAATTTGTTTTTCCTTGAATTTTCAAAATAATATCTATTATCTATTTGAATCATCACCTTTATGGCACTCACTTCTCCTGAGGAACTGTCAATCAGTTTTTGAATTCTTTCTTCATGCAGCTTATCCTATCTATAAATTATTTCCACATTATGTCCCCCTACTCTTGGCAAGAACAGTGAGTAAGTAAGTCAGCTATGGTGTCTTTTTCTTGTTGCTCCTTTTACTGAGTTGCCTTTGTTCCGCTGGCACCCGGGGAAACCACAAATATTGACCAACATTCACAGGGCCCATAAATAAGTAAACAGTCCATTAGTTCCACGTCGCCCCCGCAGCTCCCCCCGGCTGACAACTACCAATTTCCATGGCAGGCAGCAGCTTGCACAACAACTCCCAGCTCCAGCTCCAGTGCAGCGAATTACTTTTGTGGGGGGAATCGGAAAATCAGAAATCGAAGCCAAGTCACACCCTATCGAGGCATAGATCCAGAGTCCCCCAAGTGCCTTTATCTTATCGACTCTGTGGCGTTGGCGCCTTATCGCCCAAAGGTAAACACAAGATAAGGGCCCAGGCATAGAGCGACTCAACTCATTTGCCAAATGACGCATGGAGTGTTACTGGGACACGGGAAATGGAAAATGAAAATGGAATTTTGTTTTTATGGTTCATCAACCGGGGCTCGGGCAAATATCAACATAAGAGCTTAGAGAACATTTTGGAAATGGGTCAAAAATGAGAGGGTATTTACGATTATAAATAAAGCATAAACATTGAATCTGTCTTGGTAATGAATAAATAAAAATGATAGCAAAAGAATCCGAATAAAATTAATTTCATTTTATTATTAAGAACATTTTAAAGAGCTCTTTAAATACCTTTCTCTTCTCCCTCATCAAAAGGTGTCAATGGCACGTTCAACCAGCTGTTGCCAGCTTTTCCTCGCACCTTTCTCCTTGCATTTCCCGTAATAACTGATCTTGAACCGATTTCGGGGGACTGGGTTAATATACCCGGGGCATATGGCTCCCAAGGGCTGCCAGCCCCATTTTTAATTGCCGCTACGTGAGCGAAATTGTAAAACTACGAAATCGAAAAAGAACATCCGTTCCCAGCTGAGTAAATTATGCTAATTAAATTTATGATTGAGCCGATAGTTATGGGCAGGCAGATAATGCCCATATAATGGGGCAGGTTCTCTCGCAGTTCGATTCGGTTCATTTGCAGTTTGTCGTGGAATTAATTGCAAAATGTAGAGATATTTATATTTAATGGACTTGCCTCGGCCCCGACGGGGTCTGGTTATTAAAATAGAAATTACTTTGACTTTGGCTTAGATCGCTCTTAAAAAAAACAACAACAAATAAAACCTAAACAACATAATTGACGTTGTAAAAATGTTTTGATTCCAAGCCTAATGGTGGTCATTGCGGGGAAGTTTTTTTTTTCGGACGTGCAATTTGGGGTGATTTTTCCTCTGGGGTTATTAGAGTTTCAAGTATTCGTTTGGTATAATAAATGTCAAGGCAGCAGAATGCTGCTTGCAAAAGATGATGGGGTTGCCCGATAAAATGATTGCGATGGTGGTGGGATTAACATTTTGCAAAAGCAAATAGGGGTTACACAAATGTCAAAGGTATGGGTTCTACTGTTTGTTAAGGTCACAGTTATATTTTTAAAGTTAAATAAAATATTTCTAGCTTTCATAAGATCTGTTTCAGTATCTTGTAAAATCCTCATTAATTATTATTCTTCATTCATCGCTGATCCATATTTCTCTCCATAATTTTTCACAGTTCAATTAGTTTTTTCCAGCCTCCCATTATTGCTCACCGCTGGCATTACACCATTGAACATAACCCTAGGAAATCTTGCCCAACATTAGCCAACATAATTTGCGCAATCCTTGCACAACTTGGCCTAATCGCATTAAACGGGAAATTCTTACCAAATTGCGGGCCATCGCCAAATGTTTTTGTTTACTTTTATCGGAGGAAGACATCATCGCGGCGTCAATAATTACAGCATCAAACGAATCGGAATCGGCAATAGGTCTATATAAATTTATAAAGCGCGGTGAGTGGGCCCGCATCTCGCGAGTTTGCCCGATTTTTGAGGCAGGCACGCCACATGCTTTTTAACCTTGATTAAGTTGACGTTCTAATGATGCTGCTAATGGCGGCAATGATGCTCCTAATGATGATGCTACTGATGACGATGCTACTGACGATGGGAATGGGAGTGGGCATGGGGCATGGGGAAGCCGAAGATGCTACCGCAACATCATTAACAACATTATCAACAACAACAACAGCGACAGAGGAGAAAAGTTCTTGGGTATTTTTTGTTTTTAATTGCCGCCTGGCACTTAGCTAATGTAATTTATATTACATTTTGCTGCTGCTCTAAAAGCTTTAAGTAGCTAAAAAAAATAAAAGGAGAACAACAACAAAAAAGTAGCGCCGAAGTGCAGCATCAGTGGTGGCAGCCGGAGGAGGAGGAGAAGACGGTTGTAAAAAGCAGAGTGGGAGCCGAAGACGTAAAGTTGTGTTTATATTTACCTAACATTGTACTTGAAAGATATTTTCGTTTCTTTCTCCCCTGTGGCACTCGCCCACCTACCTCCCTTGTTTGTTTATCTAATGGCTAAAAAATATTTAAGCCATAAAATTCGAAGCTGCGAGATGGCTAAAAGCTGCCGCACTTCTTTCTTTCAGCTCGCCTCTTTTTTTATTTACCAAAGTCATAAATACCTTCGGAGCAGTGTGCAGCGAGAGAGAAGAAAAGGTTTTGTGTCCGAGCGCCTCTGCTCCGCAGACACATCCGCAGCAGATAAAGTCTCGGGCCTAAAAGTTGCTATATTTTCAATTTATGTAAAGAGAGACGGCGACCAGCTCACCTGCCTGTTATCTTAAATGTTTTTTCCTGTTGGTAATTAAAAAGTTTTCTGTTTCAGACCCAGTTAGAGCCCCCTCCTCCGCCAGCTCCCACTCATCTCTCTTGTCTGTTTTGGCTAATGCAGGTTGGAAGCTCCCCGGTTTCGACCTTGGCATTTCCGTTGGCATGATTTTCGGGGGGAGCACTGATAAGACGCCAGCAGCCGGGAGCTTTAAGCGTTAGCTGTGGCAATGAGCGTGGTTTGCTTTAAGATTTCGCTTTGAGGTGCTTCCCAGAAGAGATAATGAAGGTCGCTCTCGGATTAGATTGGTAAAAGATAAGCATTATTTTCTGAGATTTCTAACTATTTTCCTAGAAGCTAGCTTTTGATTTCGTTAATTTTAAAATATTTGGTGATATTTTAAACATTTTATTTTTATATTTTTATTTCTAATCAAAGAACGTGACTCTAGAATAAAGCTACTGCCATGATTTAATGCGGTGAATATCTAGTTAAAGAAGCTAACGCCACTCACTACAACTGAATGTAAACAGCTTTGGATCTATTAAACAGTTGTTAATGTAATATGTATGCAAGTTAGTTAAAATATAAGCTAGAATGGTCCACATTTGTTCGCTTAAATCTCCCTCTACAATATATTCTTCAATGGAAACCCTCCCTGAACTAGCTAATGTACCTATTCCCCTTTCAAATTCCTCGAACTAGGGTGCATCCCAGCATCTTAGACTTTATGCCAGCTCACGTCTAACCCATTCCCACTTGGAACATTCCCCAAAAGTGTCAACAAGGAAGGCCTACAAGCCCGAGACATTCGAACGGAGCCGAGCCCCACCTCGTTCATTCATAAAGATTCACATCTCCATAAGCAGGGGCAAGCTAACACGAGTCCAGGCAGCACCTAACAAGTTCTCGGAATTGCACAAAACCTCAAAAGTTCTTTAAGTTTTTCGCTCTAACGAAACCTGTTCCCCAGACGGAGGCCCCCAAAAGAGACGGGGCTCTGGGCACTGGGCACTGGGACTGTGACGGAAACTCGGGACGAGACTGCGGCCCGAGACATAATTAATGATTTCAAAATTTCACAACGAAAACTCATAAAACTTATCGATCGAACTTGAAACAACAGAGGAGTGAAAAAAAAAGAATGTCATGCTGCTGTCAAGGCAAATTTCAGGGCTTTAAACGTAATTCCCACTTTAATAAGGCAAAATTTAATCATAAGTTGGGATATTTTGGATACAATTACGCAAGGTTTCTTAAAAAATAGGTCTAAGCTAAGGAAGTTTGGGAATTGTAACTCATTTTCCTACGTTAATGAATTTATTAAGGTAACTTTTTTAAGTTATACTAGCAGAAAAAGTCTACAACTCAATAGATTTTCCTTACACATTTTAAAATAAAATTGCTTTTTTACAACTTCTAACTTAATTGATTAATTAATTGGTTAATTACCTTGCACTTATTCTTTCTTTAGTAAAACCGCTTTTCACACAATACATTTCCGTACCAATTGCTTCATATTATTCTAAAAATTGCTATAACCAATTAAGATCTCAAGGGAATGTAATCAATATTCAGTAGTTAATCACCAGAATAGAAGCACATTGTAGCGATACATGTATCTGAATTAATTTGTAGCGTTATTAGCTTAATTAACCAATTAACACTCGTATATTAGGCACTAAATGGAATGACTTACCCTGACTGAATCGCCAACTTTGGGAACTAAAAGCACGCACTGTTTGTTGTCAAACAAAAATGTTGAGTTAAAAACACACAATTTGTGGACTCGGAAAGCACGGGCTAGGCTATCTTCGGAACTACTACTTTGGCGGCGAATAGTTTCTTTTCATTGATGAAGCGGCGCGAGTATATTCATTAATTCTGCACACACACGTACGCCGATTGACGATTGACGGCCCGCGATTGACCCGCGCGCCCCGCCCCCAAAACAAGTTCCCCGCACACGCTAGACGAACCGCGGAGGGAGGAGGAGGAGGAGAACCCGAAGGAGGGAATTTGCACGCGCGAATCTGCTGAATAACGGTCTAACGGTCCGCCGCTCTAGAACATGTCCATACTCCTTCACGTTTTCGAACTGATTTCGGAAGTTTTCCCAGCTTTGGAGTTTTCTTCTTGCCGTGGCGTTCCGCTGGAGGTGTGTGTGAGTTGGTTCTGTCGCTCCGCAACAATCATCCGCCGCGTGTACGCTCGCTTGGAAAAATTCGAATAACTGATTCGGTTACTCATTTCTCAGCCGCACCGTACGCCAGAGGGAGGTTTGCCAGCCTCTCTGGCCCAGTATCAGTGCTCAAAGAGAGCGAACGGAAACGTTTTTACTCTCTCGCTAAAAACCCGAACAACCCGAAACCAGAAATACAAACGAAGCACGTCGGCAGACTTCGGCTTGTGTGCAAAAATCATATGGTTGCCGGAGAGAGAGAGAGAGAGTAGGTGGTATTTATCTGGCAGCCGGCAAAACGCTGCTCAGCGAGTGAGATTCAAATTGGATTCTCATTGAGTCAGATAAGCCGGTTTGGAACTTGGCTAATGCGTGCAAATGAGGCCCGTGGGTCTTGAATGCTTTTCATTCTCCTCTTTTTTTTTGTTTTTAATATTTTTTTGTGGGCCAAAGTCATTTGACAATTCGTGTGTGTGAAGCTGCTCACAGGTGTGCTAATCGGGAATTATAGGTGGGTGAATCTAAAGAATCTAATTGAGAATTATAAGTGGGTGAACCTGAGGAGTTTAAAGGAAATTAAGGACTGCGACTAAGGAAAATCAAATGCATAATTATTAAATATAAATATAAATAAAGGAATATTTGTACATACCTAACTAATTTCAATTTCTTTCCAAATCTATAACTTTTATATGGATTCTAAATTTTTTACATTTACAAATTTAGTACTACCAATAAAAAAGATTCTAAAAAAGGTCTCCAAAATCCATTAATCTCCAAGAGCACTTCCGCCGCCCACGACTAATTAGCCTTGGCTCGAGCCCAATTAGAACCGCTTTCCGCAGCTCCAAGAGGTTCATTGCTCCACAACTCTTATCAGATTCGAGGCTCGAGCAGAGGTAAATAAATAGAAAAGAACCGACATGTAAATCTGATTTGATTTTTTGGGAGCGGTCAATGCAGCTACAACAACAACAATAAAAACAATAACAAATGCAATGCACCAGTCAAAGATAAACAGAGAGGAAAACCCGTAAGGTGGCTCTCTATCTCTCTCCGCTACTCTCTGAGATAACAATTAATGATATATAGATAGTTTTCCACACTCTCTCCGCTCGGGAGAGTTTTCCTTTTCCGCTCTCTCTCTCTCTCTCTCCTGCTCAACTAGTTCGCCTAAACGTGGCTAGATGGCGCTAGTGCAGCTGGGAAGAATTGCATTTCAGATGCTTTTTGTTTACAAACCAAAAAAAAGACTGGGGTGGGTTGGGGGGTAAAGAGCGGATTCCCAATGCGGTTGCATTCTTGGAAATGTTTGCAAAAACCGTCGCCGGTTTGCTGCTGCCACAAATGCCGCGTAATCGCTTTTTGCGACGTCACCGGAAGTTGCAACACGTCGCCATAGTCGTCGACTACGCACACAGAGAAATATAACCTGCATATGCCGTTAATGCCGCTGCCACACCCGAACAATTGCAAATTTCCCCCGCCGTCTTTGCAAATTTTCAAAAAAAAAAGGAAAATCGAAGGGGAAAGCCAGCACGAGGGCGGGGGCAGCTGTTGGGGTAGTGGAGTTTTACCCATTGTGCGAACCCCATTACCACCTCTGTAATGCTTCCCCAGGTTTTGCACTCTTTTTGCGAACATGTGTGAACAACTGCAGTCTTTGAAACCACCCCCTGGGATACACTCACAGAAATTGCACTGAAATTTAAAATTAAAGTAGAACTGGCTTTGCGTCCTTGGAGAGTTTCAGTTGAAATAATGAGCTAATAATCTGCTATAAAGTTTACCTAGAATTTTTTTTCATGATGTGTTTTTTATTTCAAATTTTGATAATTTGAAAATTAAGTTTATATTAAATCAACTTTTTCCATTTCACAATTCAGACAAACATAATTTTAAGATGTACAGTTTAACTCTAGTCCCATCTAATGCCCTAAAAGGTTATACATTTTATTTCAGTGTGACCGCTGTCCCTTTCGCACCCTCGGGCGGCGATTAATCATGAAAATTCACACAGAAAATATCCATTAGATACGAATTAAGACATAATTGAGAGTGCAGGGCCTCGTACGCGTTTCAAGGACCTGCATCGATGCAAGGGTAGTGGTTGCACGGGGTGGTTTCTACTTTGAGCCTGTGTGTGCAGTGGCCCAAATGCGAGAGGCTGCCTGCCTGCCTGCCTCAAGTGTCTGCGACATATTTATTATCCATGTTCGGGCACAAAAAAGAATATGATTGTGCCTCGTATGCCCTGGGCCCCGGAATTAAACTTCCATTGTTGGGCTACAAGGAAAAGGAGTCCATGCACAGCGTTGGCTTTAATTACAGTTTGAGTGGCACTGGAGAAGGTCCTTAAAGGGGTTTTAATATGCTGTCATTATGTTGACTTTCAAATGTCATGTGTTTGATGGGGGGATGAAATTTTTATCAAAGAAGCTAGCCAATATTTTCAGAGAAATTGTAATTTGTAATAAAAATTCTGTATTACCTTTATATATTTTTAATTAAATCCTTCTATCAAAAACCATGTAATAAATATCAGGTAAGTCCACCACCTGTAGGAATGCACCATCAGGCTCCAATGCCACAACCGACAAGCTTCAATAATTTGTAAGAAATAAATAAAACCTAAAAATAAAATGAAAAGCTTGGAAAAACAAGCAATTTGTGTGTGTTTGCTGGGCAGGCAAGAAAATGCCCAAAACAAGTGAGGCGAACAAGTGTTATATGACAGGTCTCGGACGTCCAGCTGAGATTTTTGGATTTTTTTTTAACCCGGCTCCAACTCAATTTCTGTGCGGTTTTCTGTGCTGGGTTACAAAAAGCTTCGTTGTAATGCGGAATGTAAGTTTTGTATGTTAATTTGATTTCGGTGTCAAATGGGATTTCTTTTTTTTTTTTCGGCCTTTTGTGTGCTTTGTTATTTCCATTTTTTTATGACCTGCAGTTGGGCTGCGCTTTTACGGCTGTTATTGTTGTTCCAGCAGCTGGCGTTATAGCGTATATATAGTAATTTCTCGATCCGTCGAGCAATTCGATCCCTCTCCGGGGTGTCAATCCGCTTGGGGTCTCGCTTTTGATTGTGCGCACTTATGTCTTTATTGACATCGCCGCAATAACATAAATAATTTATTACAGCCACAGACATTGAGCAATTTGTAAATGGCCAAAAAGAAATCTTGGCCAGCCTGAGCACACTTGTGCTTGTATCCGTTGGATACTTCCACTTCCACTGAGCATTTGCATTTATCAAGTGCATTTGAGGTAAGTGAAATCAAACGAGCAAATACCGGGCAAATACCGTTAAAAGAAACAGAACACAGAGCCGGCTTTCAAGGACTCTCCGGGTAATTGATGCACTTCGTTGCGAGCGCATTTAATTGAGTTAGGTTCCGTTCGCATTCGTCGTCCATTCATTGCGCAAATAAATCGCTTTAATTGATGTAAATATTTGCATTTCAAATATGCAGAGCTCGCTCTTTGAACCGGAGAAGTGTGTACGTTATGAGTGATGAATAAAATATATATATAATTTTTTTTGGCAGAATGATTGGATATTGCAGTTTTCGGCATTGTTTTCTAGGACCTTCAATAATGCACAGTACTTATAATTTTATTTGTTTTGCTCAAAGTTATTTCAATTATTGAAGCCAAGGGTGTGGTGTAACAGCCACGTAAGCATTACCATAAACTTGAATTTATTTGAAAAATCCCTGGTATATATAGTATATAAAATAGCCTTGCCAGCCGATCAGGTTGTCCTTAACTTAATTGTAAAGTTTTATTTTTAATGTAAGTGTATCAAAGTAGCAAAATTTCATTCGCCTCCCAACTGCGGAACAGGACGAACGTCTTTTATTTTTGTTTATTATTAATATTTTTTCATAATTTTCTTGTCTAATTTTGTGTGCATTTTTGTTTGGCAACCTTTTATTTTGGATTTCTAATAATATGCTTTTTTCGTTAATATAAAGTAGTATTAGTTTAATTTTGTTCTTGGTTTAATTATCTTGTTTAATGAATTTTAATTTGGATTTAGCTTGTTGTTCTTTTTTATAATATTTCATTTTAATTCTTTACTTTAATTTGTTTTTTATATGTTCCTGAGCCTCTTCCTGAGACTCTGCATCCTTTTACTAAGAGTCTATTTTATTCTTAAACCTTTAATTTGACTTTATCTTTATTTCAGTTAATTATTTATATTATTTCTCTGTGTCCCCTGTCACTCTAGTCTCTGCTGTTAGCCTGCTGTGTTTCACTACCTTTTTTTACATAAATGAATGTCCTTTGCTGTGCAATATGAATTGGAAAAGCTCTTTCAAATTACCCCTAAATTGAATATAAAAACAGTGACCTTGAAGTGTAAAGCTCAGTTTTGCAAAAGGATCCACATTGTACCCCTCATCTCTCACCTCTTTCACCTAGTTTTGTGTATGGCATAATCAATTATTTTCAATGGACAGGCCGCAAAAACAAAGTCATTTATTATGCTGACCAAAAAAATTTGTCACTATTCTGCACTGGTTTCCATTCATTCCCGCTGTTGTTGCTGCTGCTGCTGCTTATCAGCCCAGAGCCGAGTTTGGGGCCATAATTAATTTGGCCAGGCAACAACAGCGGCAAAAAGACACACAAGCTCGCTCTCCAACTGCCCCAAACAATGGCAAACAAATTGATTAATGACAGCGTATTAAACAATAATCGAGATAGGCCTCCGGTCAGATCAGAAAAAAGAGGAGTTGCCACCGAATCTCTGATGCTGTAACCCATCGGAATATTGTGCGCCCACGCAGAAATATTTGTTTTTTTTTTTTTTGTTTGGTTTGGTTTGCACGCACAAAAAGTGTTTTTCTGTTGTTTGTTGTTGTTCGTGGCTAAAAACAATTCATTTAAATAATATCTGAACCACTTTGCCGGGAAACTGGAGGAAACAAATCATTTTTCATATCCTTCGTGTTCATCGCACAACGTCCCAAAGCTGGCAAATTAATAATGTGTAATTAATTTATTTTTTTTTTTATTGTGGTAAAAGCCGGGTAAAGGG